AGAGAAGCTAGACGCAAAAGTTGACATACCAGGTGACTCCATTTTAATGAAATGTCCAGAATAGGCAAATCCATGGAGATGGAAAGCAGATTAGTGGTTGCCCGAAGAGATCAGTGGGACTCAGGTGAGGGGAAATGAGTGACTTCTTAATGGGTATGAAGTTTCTTTTGGAGTGATAGAAATATTGTGATGGTTGCACAACACTGTGAAGGTACTAAATGCCACTGACTTGTGCACGTTAAAATGGTAAATTTTGTTTTGGGAATTTCACCGCAATAAAAAAATGCAGGGGAGCAGGGTAAGGGATACTTTTTTATATAGAATGGTCTGGGGCCAGAGAAGCAGTGATAAAATGCCACTGAAACAGAGACCTGGGGAATGTGAGAGGAGCCATGTAAAGAGGTGATAGGAACAGCCAGTGCAAAGGCCCTGAGGCAGGAATGAATGTCTGGGTGGTCCAAGAAGCTCAAGGAGGATGGTGAGGCTGGAGCAGAGTCACCTAGATGAGAGTGGTGGGTGATGATGTCAGAGTGAGAGGGTCCAGATTGTACACAATGTGGAAAGCATTCCTCTGACATGGGGAGCCAAGGTTTTGAACAGAGGAGGGACATAATCTGATTTGCGTTTTAACTGAACTCCTGGGCTGCTGTGTGGAGCATATCCTGGAAGGAGTGAGGGTGGAAGCCAGGCACTGATTATGAGGCTCTGGCGGCAGTCTTGGTGAGGACATATGGATGGATGGGTGAGTGGAGAGGAGATGGCTGGGGTATTCGTCTCAGTGAGCCCATCCTTAGACAGTCAGCTCTGTGGGAACAAGACCACCCTGGGGCTTCAACGGCTCCTTCCTCGGGAGTCCATGGGGTCATGCTGCTCTGGGGGTGCCTGCATCTCTCATGTGGCAGCCTAGGGGAAATTTACTGGCAAAGGGCTCTGTCATCCATCTATCTACCAATCATCGTCTATCTGTCCATTCATCCGCCTGCTTGTTCTCATTCAAACCTAACGTGTTTGTTGTGAAAAACTTAAATGTTAAGGAAATATCGTAATGTGGAGGGGCGCCTGGGTGGCTCAGTCGGTTGAACGTCTGACTCTTGGTTTCAGCTCAGGTGTGATCTCGGGGTCCTGGGATCGAGCCCTACATCAGGTTCCATGCTCAGCACGGAGTCTGCTCAAGGATTCCCTCTCTCCCTCTCCTTCTGCCCACCCACCCCATCCCCGCTTGCTCCCTCTCTCTGTCTCTCTAAAATAAATAAACCTTTAAAAAAAAGATTGTCATGTAGAAAGTGACACTCCATCCACCAGAGTTAACTAGCTTCTTTTTTGTTTTTTTTTAAAGATTTTATTTATTTATTTGACAGAGACAGAGACAGCGAGAGCAGGAACACAAGCAGGGGGAATGGGAGAGGGAGAAGCAGGCCTCCCGCGGAGCAGGGAGCCCGGTGTGGGACTCGATCCCAAGACCCTGAGACCATGACACGAGCCGAAGGCAGATGCTTAACGATTGAGCCACCCAGCCGCCCCAGAGTTAACTAGCTTCTGTTAAGGTTGCCATCTCTTCTACCAGATTTGTATGTGTGTGTAAATATGCTACATATATTTTATCATTTTTTTCACTTAACATCGTATCTTAGACATCTTGGAACATAGGAGTCGACCTCTTTCTTTTCAAGGAAGATAATAAGGGGTGCCTAGCTGCCTCAGTCAGTAGAGCCTACGACCCTTGATCTCAGGGTTGTGAGTTTGAGCCCTACGTTAGGTGTAGAGATCACTTAAAAAATAAAATCTTAAAAAAAATAAAAAAATAAAGCAAGATAATAACCTATGGCAGAATTTTAGTCTTGACACTGTTGACAATTTGACTCCAGTAGCACCGCCCCCAACTCCCACCGTGACGACCCAAAATGTCTCCAGACATTGCCAGATGCCCACGGTTGAGAACAACTGGTCTGGGACATGAAGGTACTTTATTTTGACCACTTCCCCATCAACTGCTGCCCATGGTTGCAGAGATTGTGGCGGCTCATAAATCCTTGTGCACCTGCGTGAGGGTTCTGTAGCATCGAGTCCTAGAACCATTGGGTCTGATGGTGAGTTTGAGCCATCTCTAGTATTTGTATGTAGAAAGGGCTTGGGGGCTGGCTCAGGGACTTTTTTTTTTTTTTAAGATTTTATTTATTTTGTGAGAGAGAAAGAGAGAGCACAAGCAGGGGGAGAAGCAGGCTCTCCGCCGAGCAGGGAGCCCAATGAGGGACTCGATCCCGGGACTCCAGGATCATGACCTGAGCCAAAGGCAGACGCTTAACGACTGGGCCACCCAGGCACCCCCTTGGGGACTTTTCTTGAAGGGGAATTTACATGGCAAGCACACTTAAAAAAAAATGTGAATCATGTTTATTTACAGACGCTTGGGAGGGGATAAAGGGGGAAACTGGTGAATATTAGTGGGGAGGAAGGCCACGAAAGCTCCCAGCCCCCAAAGGTCACCTCTTTTTGGCACTGCGAGTCAGTGGTATTGATATTTTAAATCTAACAGATATCTTAAATTACACCTTGAAATAGCGACTCTTCAAATTTTGTTTGAGATTGCTTTTTCTGTGAGGAAAGTATCATAGGGGTCAAAGTAGAAAAGTCTGAGATTATAAAATATAAGTTTTATGGGAAACAAAACTCCCATTGATACTATACAGACAACCCCTTGACTAACCTTCTGGTGTTTTTCCTGTCTTTTTCAGTGCATCATTAAAAAAATACATGGCATCACTTCTCGGCCTTTTGGCTAAGATCAAGTGTAAAAAAAAAAAAAACGGCAGTATGTTTTGTATCCCTTATTTTTTGCCGAAGTATAAGCTGTTGCTCATGTCATTGAAACCCTATTAAAGAATCCTGTGTTACAAACATGAATTGCAAGGGTGGGCGCGTTCTGAGTCCTTGCACCATCTCCTTCCTGCAGACGGGTCACGAGACCCAGTTGGGGTCCTAGTCTTCTCGCCACTTCTTGGATTTCTCCTCTGGAAGGTTGGGGTGCCCTGTGGCACAGCCCTGAGGGCTGGGTGAGATGGGGACCATGGAGCCCTTTGCCTGGTACCTGGCTTTGCATAAATGCCCAAAAAAGGCTGGCGTCCGTCGTCCTGACTTCTTGTTATTGATTTAATGAATTATAACCAAGGCATTTTGCAAAGAGTTTAAACACAGGCTTTTGGATTTGGGGGGTGTTTGTGTTTGGGCCTCCCTTCCAGTAGTTTTCTAGAGTTTGGGAAGCTTCATGATGAATTTATATGAGAAAAATGTTCTCTTTCGGTTCTCTGTTAATTTTTCCATTTAGGCAAGGAGTAAGTGTCCGTTGTGGGATGGCTGGACAGCTGGAGAGGTTAAACCTCTCTTACACTTGCTAATCACCCTGCTTTTAACCAAGACACCCCGATTTGGGGCTTACAGCCTTTAGGGAGGCAATATCATCTAACTAGCCTTTAATAGAAATTTACCTCCCCTGGTTTTTGTTGTTTTTTGACCAGTTTCTTATATTTATGGTATAAGATTTTGGTTTTCTACTTACGGCAATGATAGAATTAATTTTTTATTTTTAAATTTATTTAATGTAACTTAACACCATGTAATATAATTAAATTATAATTTATTTAATAATTGACTATTTAAAAATGAGGGGATTTTTTTTTAAACTTTTTTTTTAAAAGATTTTTTTTATTTATTTATTTGACACAGAGAGAGAGAGACAGCAAGAGAGGGAACACAAGCAGGGGGAGTGGGAGAGGGAGAAGCAGGCTTCCCGCTGAGCAGGGAGCCCGATGCAGGGCTCGATCCCAGGATCCCGGGATCATGACCTGAGCCGAAGGCAGACACTTAACCGACTGAGCCTCCCAGGCGCCCCTCCAAGAAACATGGGAGGATCCTTAAAGAGTGGCTGGCTGCTGAAGGAGGTCGGCTCCTTCTTACTGAGTGTCTCCTGCATGCCCTGCATTTTACCCATTGGGTAAAATGATCTGTTCGGTGTCTTTTCGATCTCCCAGCAGCCCTTAGAAGTAGGTACTATTAGTATCCCCGTGTTGCCCTGAGGAGACACCTAGAAGGGATGAAGTGATGTGTCTAAAGGCACAGAGCTGCTACATCCATGACCGAGCTGGTTAACTTCAAAGCTGCCTCTGGAGGGAATTTGGAAGGATTCAATGGTGGGTGAGTTTTGTATTTACATGTATGTGAATAATTAAAAGCCCACACTAAGAGGCAGTGGGTGGCATGGTTAGGTGGGATTTCCAAAGCTGTTTCAGGGATCATGCCCTCTAGATTAGTAAAATACCACTTGAAGATCAGGGAATCTTTCTAACCCCAAGCAGTGAATCTCCGATGGCAGGATTACTGCCAAGGCGGAGACTGACCTTCGAGTGGCGGCCTCTGCGTCTCTACAAGGCAGGCTCAGGCTGGAAGGGGAAGATGGAATACACCCTTGAAGGAGCAGGGGGAAGAGACGTGGAGAAGGAAGGCAGAGAGACGCAGGCGGAGCCGACATTGACCGAGTGCCCGTCCCTTGCCAAGCTGCTCCTGGCCACCCTACGACCCGTGTTTCCAGTGAGGACTTGGCTCAGAAACCTTGGGCAAGGTCACCCAGGTAGGAAGTAGCAGAGCAGGCATTCCGAAAAAGCACCCTGGATTGTTCCCAGGCACCTACTGCTTATCTGCACGGATCCTCCGGGGAGGTAGTGTAATATTGACGTGGAAGAGAAGCCAGAAGGTCGCATGGACTTTGGACTTTTCCATCTGAAAACACTTCCCTGGCAACTTCGGGTTCCTTTTCCATAAAACGGGGTCAACATCGCCCCCTCCCCACCCCCCAGAATTTGCCAGGATGGAGATCACGTGGTGAATTGCCAAGCGTCAGGTAGATGCAACTTACCACCCTTCCTGCCTCCAGCTTCTTGGCTTCCCTAGTGTTTACTGTCAAGTCTCTGAGAGGCCCTGCTTTAACTCAGTTTCCCCACTTCTTCCAGGACCAGCGGAGAACAAATGCCAGGAGCTCTTGTGCAAGTGTGACAAGGAGATTGCTTACTGCTTAGCCCAGACTAAGTACGACTTAAAGTACTTATTCTACCCCCGTCTCTTATGTGAGAAGGACTCGCCCCAGTGTGACTGCCTAGCCTAACTTGGAATGTTTTTTCACACAAGGAAATAAAATCTCTTTTTCACTCATCAACAGCTGCATTCAGTTCTTTGCAGGAGGGAACGAAGGCCAAGGGTGAAAGCTGCAACCTTTGTTTGCTTTCTCTCCCGGAACTTGGGGCTGGAGCCTGTGTGGCTTCCAGTTTAAGGTCAAGAGTCCCGTGCTATTTTATAAAACCACAACTAGGCCTATGGCTGTATTGGGTTTGGTACCATTTTTTGAGATTCACCTTTTATGAAAAGGGCTGAGCTTTGTGTTCTAACCTGCTCCTGACGGCAGGTGGTCAAACATGAACGGACACCTCCCACGTGCCTGGCCTTGTTCTGTGTTCCGGGATGAGGCGAGGAACAAGATGCCCCTTCCTGGGGCGCCTGGGTGGCTCAGTCACTGAAGCGTCTGCCATGGGCTCAGCTCATGGCCTCAGGGTCCTGGGGTCGAGCCCCGGTTGGGCTCCCTGCTCAGCGGGGAGCCTGCTTCTCCCTCTCCCTCTGCCCCTCCCCCCTGCTGGTGCTTTCCCCCTCTCTCAAATAAATAAGATCTTAAGATGCCCACTCCTGTGAAGTTCTAGTCTGGTAGTTATGAGCTTAAGAAAGAGTATTCGTCTCCATCCCACTCCACCTAACGGTTAAACTTCCTGGTTACAGAGGTAGAAGACACTCAATGCTTAAAAAGATAAAGGAAAATAAAGACAAATATAAAGGAGAGAAAAAAAATCACTCAAATTCCCACAATCCAGAATAACCAATTTTAGTATCTCTGTGAGCTATCATCAGTGTTTTCTGTGGTAATTAAAAATGCAGCTGAGACCATGGCATAGGACTTCAAGGTTTTCCCGATGTCATTAAAAAACCTTTGGAAACTTCATTTTAAGTAACTGTATAACATACTGTTTTATAGATTGCCCACTTTTGGGTATTGGTATTTCCAGTTTTTATCGATTGTTGACGTGACGAGGCTGCTTATCAATAAATCTTTGCTATGCCCCACTGCCCCTTTTTATTGTTCCTTAACCCAGTGTCATGGCCGAGGGCAGGCCGCCCCAAGATAGGTATGGTATGAAGATTATTTTGAACTGAAGGCAGCAGAGACCCTGCGGGCTCAAGAGAAACTTTTGCCCCTCCTTTTAACTACCTAGAAGAATCTAAATTGGGGGTCTGCCCTAGAATGAGGGTTAGTACCAGAGATCAGTTTTATCTGAGCGGCCCATCTGCACGGCAGGGCCAACAGCTCGTTACCAAACATCTGCATTCCTGTGAAATGCATTCCTTCCCTCTGCCGGCCCACACCCCTACCTTAGTGCAGGATGACCTCTGGCCTCGTTTTGCCCCTCTTTGGAATTGCCATACCTGCGTGGATGCCCCGTACATACAAAGTTAAGTTTGATTTTCCGCTGAGCTGTCTCTTGTCAATTTGATTCGCAGTCCAGCTGGAAGGACCTTGAATGGGGACAGGAATTCTTGCTCTCTTACACCAGACTTGCCGAAGTGTAATTTCTGCATCAAAGGGCCTGAATATTTTCAGTTAAGTGCCCCGTTCTGGAGTACCCAAGCCTGCTATGATTGAGAGGGTCGGAGGGCCGAGACAGGCAGCCAGTGGCCCCGGCTCTCAATGTGCCTGTCCCCACTCTGGCGACAAGAAGCGAGAGTCCGGCCCAGCCTGTCTGCCCTTCCTCCTTCCCAACGCATATGTGGGTATTACTCACTCATCCTTGAAGCAGGATGTGGGGAGGAGGTGGGGAACGCTGTGAGCTCATAGGGTACACGTGGGGGCACTGGACTGGCAGTCTGGCCTGGGCCTAGCCCCACCGATGCCAACCAGCCTCCCCGTGCTCAGCTGGAAGGAACAGTAACTGTGCAAGGCACCAGGCCAGGGATGTGCAAATAGTGCATGGAGTCCCCAGACCTGCTATGCGGTCAGTGACAGGGGGAAGGCCTGGCAGCCCTGGGGCCTAATGACCAAGCACAGGAGGAAGAAAAACACTCTCCCTCCTTTTTACGTTAGACACCGCAGGGCAGCTCTCACATCAGGCTGGGGCACTTCAGTGTGACTAGCAGGCTGTATGGGGCAATGCAGATTTTCTTCACATTTTCCAAGCAATTCTCTTTTTCTCTAGACAGCACTTTTATCTATATAAAAATCTTTATTTTACTTTCAAGTGATATCTTCAAACTTTCGGATGCAAAGTTTGAGGGAAATGTTCAAAGGTCCAAAGGATTAATGAAGGGTTCATGGAGTCACAAAACAACACTGTGGATGCAAGCCTACCTCCGCGGGGCCAATCTTCCAATGGCTCATGTTCACACCTGCTGTCTTTACACTGGAAGGAAAGAAAAGGCCCTGCTTCATCTCATTCATGTTTATAATTACAGCACTTGCTGTAATTATACTTGCTGTTTTATACATCAGAACAGGACAGTAAGATTATACAGTGCGAGGTCAATGTACAAAATGTTTCCTTGAACAAAAGGATTATCCTGGATATTAAATTCCTGAAAACAAAACAAACCAACCCCACAACAATCATTTTAAGTAGCACTGAGGCAGCTCAGCCTCAGTAATTCAGACATGAATTACTCTCCATTATTGCCTGACATCCTACTCAATCCCCACCCCAGAGTCAGGGATCCAAACTCGCAGCGATTGTGTGTGGAAAACCTGACGACAGTCTGACCACCAGTCTAGTCTCAAAGAGAATCCTTTTAGATGCTTAACTCTTGACAAATCTTCTAGCGACTCTTTAATAATACAGAATCATCCATCAGATTGGGGCTTCTCCTCTGCATTTTTTATGTGCAACTGTCTATACCTATGACAAAGTCTTCTCCCGGTTTTCCTAAATTTGCCTTAGAGGACGGGCCTGGCCCCAACGAGCCGGGTCTTGGGCTCGGCCTCAGGCTGCAACTGGCGCTGGGAGCCTTTGTCAAGTGGGACCACTGACGCGGCAGCCTTCTGCCATTGCCACACTACATCCTCTGGGGTCCCGGTCCTTGAGAGCCGTGGTGGAGCGGGCCTCCGCAGTCCCTGTGAGGAGGGTGGCTGGCTGGGAGGTGCTGTTGCTGTGTCGGCCGAGCTCTGGGCTGTCAGTCCCTGCTGCCAGGATGCCACAGGCATGGGAGAGAGGACCTGGTTAGAGCCTCTGACAGACAAAGCAGCACCTTGTTCATGAGGCGCAGAAATAGGAAGTCTGCTCCCTCCCCCGCCCCCCCTGCTCAAGCATCAATGCTCCGATGTCAAGGAGGCTGGAAGAGTCCCTCAGGGCCTGCGCAGTGCAAATCACAACACCTGGGTTTCCAGCCGTCGGACTTCCTTGACCACGAGATCAATGTTAATAATTGGGTTGAAGTACAGGGCCCAGTAAAATAAACAGTTGCAAACAAACTGAGGAATCAGGGGCCAGAACATGGCCACAAAAAGCCCCTGTGTTGATACTTTCCAAAAATGGCTCCACATCCTCTGAGGCACGGTCCTGGGAAAAGAAGAGAAGCATCTGAGCAGTGGAATGGTGATGCTGTTTCTAATGATGACGCCAGAGTGCTCGGGCCCTGGGCCTTCTCCCAGCACGGAGCCTGGCCGTTGCTGCTGCAGACACCTTGCTTCCTGGCCCTGCTGCCCGAGGCATGCCTCTGCCTGACCAACCATCCTCCACTCCCAGCATGCAGCCTGCGGGGTATGCCTGGTCCTGGTCCCCACACCGGGCAAGGACCCCCCACCCTCCCAGCACAGCCCCCCGGCTTCGTCGCTGGGTCGCACTTGTATGTATTTAATATCCGTATTTTCTCTGTGAGGCTATGGGCCTTCAGAGTCCAGACTGTCTGTGTTCTTTACCAAAACATCTGCAGTGCCCAGCAGAGAGCTAGGGGCAGAGGAGGGGCTCAGTTAACCGTGAGCCTGAATAAATCAAAAGGAGATTCTTGTCAGGTTTTTGGAACTATATATAAGGCTGTTCCTGACTAATGAGGCCAAGAACTCTAAGTCTTGGGATGTTTAAGACTGTAAGGATGCTGGTGTGGGGCTTTGTTACTTCTGCCTGCCCACTAGCCACTCCCTTTCTTCTGGAAACACTTTCTGGTTTTCCTTCTGGGTGCCTCCTTCCCCTTTTCTTTTCCATGTGGTCTCGGTGGATCTGAAGCCAGCCCCTGGTTGGGAGGGTGAGGGCATGCCTTGAGCCTGGACAAGGAGAGCCTGGCATACCCCGGCACCGGGTGATAGATCTGGGTGGGCATGGGACCCAGGCAGGGCCAATCAGAGCGAAGGAGTGTGAGCCCCAAGACTGTAAGTGCTATGGGGAAAGAAGTGCTCTCTCTCCACCAGGGGTGCTAAGCTGCTCAGATCTGTGCCCCGAGTGACCATGGGCCCTGCGTGAAGAGAGCTGCTGGAGGCTGACCAACAGAGCAAAGAGCAGGGCTGTGAGAGGGAGAGGATCAGTCCTGACGACAGCGTTTGGGTCTCTGGATCCGGCCGTGCAGGAAGCCTTGGTGGGGCATTTCTCTTTTCGGGAAAGCCAATTCGGGCTGGTTTCTATCACATGCAACCAAGAGTCCTGACTCCGACTGGCTAGCCCAACGCTCTCATTTTCTGCATTAATCCAGAGAAGTGATTACTGTCCTGCTCAGTGGCCGAGCAGGATTAGAACTCATGCCTGCAGAATTCCTCACCAGATCTCATTATGCTCTACCACAGTGCCCTCTCCATAAAGAACCCTTTTCTTCTCACTTATGCATTCCTTAATACAATCCTTCATGCACACCCCCAGCCCCAGAAGTACATGATATGTTATTACACGGGGATAAGATATATGGAGAAACTCTTGAACACTGAGCACCACGAAAACTTCCCCGCCCCCAAACATGAGGACAGTTTCCTATTCGCTGCTTAAGCAGTGTTTCTAAACCAGGGCCCAAGGACCGTTTTCCCGTTTACCTACTACTTCAGAGAGGACCCTTCCACCACTTGGTCAGTCTTTCGCAGTGCCTGCTGTGTCAGCCATCTCCAATGTAAAAACACACTTACTTCAGTTCACTTCTTGACCAGATCCTCCAGAAGGAGAATAATTCCAGAACCGAGAGTAACATGGCATTGACGATGAGAAACCGTGACGTCCAGTAATGGACCTCCAGCCAGTCCCAAGCAAATTCAGCAATCAGCTGGTATGGGAGGAGGGAGTACTTGACAAGAAATTCTCTCCATTGTTTCCATGTGGGCTCTCGAAGATCCTTTAAAATAACATAAAAATAAGCACAAATGGGCACAAAAAGTCGTGAGGATTGACTTTTACGGAAAATACTGTGGTCCTCACGGTGAACCTTACGTTTATTAAAACACCCGCATATCCAACAACATAACATGACATTTCCATCCATCAGCTCACCTTTATAATAACTAATCTTACACTGGATAAATGTTACCAAAGAAGTTGAACTGAGATTCTTCTTATGTAATAGTGGAAACGCACGGGGCGCCTGGGTGGCTCAGTTGGTTAAGCAACTGCTTTCGGCTCAGGTCATGATCCTGGAGTCCCAGGATCGAGTCCCGCATCGGGCTCCCTGCTCAGCAGGGAGTCTGCTTCTCCCTCTGACCTTCTTCCCTCTCATGCTCTCTCTCTACCATTCTCTCTCTCTCAATAAATAAATAAAAATCTTTAATAAAAAACTCTAACTACAGATATTAGCAAATAATTAACCAGAGCATTTAAACAACTCATGGAGGCATCCAGAAGGCTTATGGGAAGCTCAGCAGGACTGTGTACAATGGAGCAGATACTAAGTATTGCAAGAAGAAAGTGAGCCTGCTGAGTGAGCAGGGGTTGTTGGGGCTTGTTAAAATGGAAAGGTAGGGAGGTCTCTGTGCTCCCAGTCCAGCGAGGGCAAGTAACAGCAGGAAACTGGGTAATGAGCCCCACTGCATAGGGGCTCATCGGCAGGCTTTAAATTACACCCAAGGCTCAAGTCAGTTAGGCAGACACTTGACTGAAGTATTTTAAAAAGGGTCTTTGGAAATTTAGGAATTCTGCTTTAATATTTATGGGTATGGATCATATATGATGATTCCTATAACCATGTGACTTTTGATTTAAAAAGATCAGAGGGACGGCCCCCAGAGCAGCAATGCAAAAGGACATTCCCTGAAGTGACCAACCAGACATAGAGAAAAGTGGGATCCACCAACAATTCTGGAGGACTCCATGGGTCACACTGAAGACACAAAAGCCAAGGTGTGTAACTGTCTCTGCCAGGGGCCTGTGGTCAGCTGATGTGACAACTCCTATCAGTGAGGTGGATGAGGCTTTTCTGAGGCCACTGGGGTAGATGCTAACCCTGCCCTGCAGTGGGACAAATAATCATCCTTTGGGGATCCTCTTAACAGACAGATGACCAAGCTGGAAGGTCCATAGATCTAACCCTCGGGCAATCTAGACCTAGGCTCTCTTCTTTTAGAACAAAAGCGATGCTGTTCCCCCGCCCCCCCAAAATATTTCAGGTCCAGAGGGTAGCCCCTCTTGCTGTGTAATGTAGGAAATAAAACTGGCTTCTGGGAGTGGGGAGGGTCTGCTCTGTGTCCTCTTAGAGGGTTTCTCCTTAAGACTGGGTGCTGTTGGCTCTTCCATGACAGCTCCAGTCCCGTCTCTAACTCCAGAACATGCTGAGGAGTGGCAGAATCATTGCGTTGAAGGCGCTCTGCAGACCTACCAAAAGTCTGGTGATGGTGTCCTCCCCAGAACTGTCTTCTTGCAGAGGACAGATGGTGTGGATGAAGGGTAGGAAGGTGTCTGTGTAGTCAAATAGGTAGAGGTACAGCAGACCGAGTCTTGGGGAGCTCTTGAGGGCATACAGCAGGAACAGGGACCTGCCTGGGTTCACAGCCTGCAGAGGACAAGGCGGGGACAGGGCCGCATTACAACAGTGGTGGCCAGCTCCCCACCCGTGCTCCTTCCACAGTCTCACGCCCTTTGCCATCAGCCTTTCTTGTGTGGTTTGCACAAACAATGAATGGATGGATGAATGAACTAACGAATGGATGGCAAGAAGAGTCCAAGTAGTCAGTATGTTGGGCTACGCTTAATAAAGACCCCATCTTTCTCCATGTCTTTGTCGGAGGGGTTGTGGGGAGCTGAGATGCATACCCTAGGCACTGCTAATAAAACCCAACCTTTTTGGAAAACAATTTTGTAAACTGTATCAAAGAGTCTTAAAAATGTTTAATTTAGGGGCACCTGGGTGGCTCAGTCGGTTAAGCATCTGACTCTTGGTTTCAGCTCAGGTCATGAACTCAGGGTTGTGAGATTGCGTCCCATGTCAGGCTCCGCGCCGGGTGTGGGAGCCTGCTTAAGATTCTCTCTCCCTCTCCCTCTGTACCCCCCACCCGCGCTCACACGCACGCTCTCAAAGAAAAAGTTTAATTTAACCAATGTGTGAGTGCGCACCACTTAAAGTAAAAGTCATCAGAAATACAGAAGGCTTTACACACAGAATGTTTAGTGCTGCATGTGTACGACAGAGCAAGTGGAATCTGCGACCTAAATAATGAAGTTACAGTAGGTGTTTCAGCAGAGTTCATACAGCCATTGAAAAATGAATATGGGCAATTTTGGGTAATGCTTGTGTTACACTGTTAGGTGAAACAAGATTCAAAGACATGTAGCAATCTGATCTCTCTGCTGTCGGCCCCAGAGAAGCCAGGCCTCCTTTGCATCTGTTCCTAGAGGAGCACCTGGCTCACAATAGATATAAGTGTTTGTGGAATGAACAGACAAACAAAAGGACCACTTAAACTATGCAGAGAAAATTGTATGGAAGAAAATAGAGCAAAATGCAATGTAAACCGTGTTTGACTCTCTGGTGGGGCTGTGGGCAATTTATTTTCATTTTCATCGCGGTAAATTTTGCTATGAAGAATGGGTATTTATATTTTTCCTGATTACAAAAGTAAATTCAAAGTGATTCAGTTTACTTGGACACTACTAAACATCAAATAAAATGGGCAAAAGGTATGAATGGCTACTTCACCAAAGAAGATTTATAATAAGGATGGCAAATAAGCACATAAAAAGATGCTCAATATCATTAGTTCTTAGAGAAATGCAAGTTGGATCAGTGTGTTAGCACCATGCAGTTATTTGAATGGGGAGGGGTGGGGAGCAGGGCTCAACAAAGGGGCATGAGGTGGCTTTGGGGAATGATGGATATGTTCACTACCTTGATTATGGTGATGGTTTCACAGGTGTGTGCAATATGACAAAACTTATCAAACTGATGAATAGAGAAAGGAGATGTGCTATATATATATACACACACAATGGAATATTCAGCCATAAAAAAAAGAATGAAAGCTTGCCATTTGCAATGACACGGATGGAGCTAGAGGGTATTATGCTAAATGAACTAAGTCAGAGAAGGACAAACACCGTATGATTTCACTCATATGTGGAAGTTAAGAAACAAAACAACCAAGGGACACCTGGGTGGCCTAGTCAGTTAAGCAGTTGACTCTTGGTTTTAGCTCAGGTCATGATCTCAAGGTTGTGAGATCGAGCCCTTGCATCAGGCTCCATGCTCAGTGGGGAGTCTACTTGCCAATTCTTCCTCTCTCTCTCCCTCTGCCCTCACCCCCACCCCCACCTTGTGCTCTCTTTCTCTCTCAATAAAAAAAAAATGAAGAAATGAGAGAATTACAGTATCACCATTTTGCAAGTAAAGAATCAATGATCATGGTGGCTGCTACTGTCAGAAAGAAACAATTAGATATCATGAGTCTCTTGATGGAAGAAAACCCCACCACGTATGAAGTAGTCTTGTCAAATACCCAAACCAACGCAAGCTTCTAGATATAACTACTGGATTATGGGATATGCAGGAGACAGCAGAACCTGTCAGGTGATACCACAGAGACAATCAGCTGAATTCAAGATGTGGGCAAACTACAGGCAAAACTATCCAGTTAAATCAACAAATAAATGCAGGATAACAAAAACAGGGAGGGAGAATCCATACACTACAAGAGACTTGAGAGACACAATGGCCAAATGTAGACCTTGTTTGGAACAAATGAACTGGAAGAAAAAAAGATGTAGTACATTTAAATACTGTCAAGTTATGTGATATCAGGGAATTTAGTTTTGTTTTTAAATTTTTAAAAAAAGATTTTATTTATTTAAGAGACAGAGAGAATGGGGAGGGAGAAGCAGACTCCCCGCTGAGCTGGGGGTCCTGGACATGGGGCTTGACCCCAGGACCCTGCGATCATGTCCTGAGCTGAAGGTAGACACTTAACTGACTGAGCCACCCAGGTGCTCCTAGTTTTCTTTTTGAAAGAGTCTTTACTTTTTAGAGATTCACAATGAAATATTTACCTATGAAAAATAAGGTATCTTAGATTTTCAAAATAGAGGTGGGAGTAGGTGGGGGATCACTGAAATCAACATGGCCATAAGTTGCTGTAGCTGGTAAAGGTACCTGGCAGTTCTGTAGTGTTATCTTGCTTTTCTGTATGTTTGAAATTTTCCATAGTAAATATCTTTGCATCCTAACGTAGGTGAGAAATAGACATGGGAGTAATTCATCATTCAAAAATGTTTCCCAACCGTTTTTTTTTTATTATCCCCTTTTAAAAACATTGTTTTTTTTCATAATCCTGTCTCCCCATGAAATGTGAATACCACAGATATACTATACATCCGTTTATGTACTGTGGTATTTTGGAGGGGGCCACAAATCACAAATTATCTAAGACTTTTTTTATTCTTCACCTCCCACCAATCAATCACCCTGGGGGCAGTACTGTTCTTGTAAAATATGCAAGATCTAAAGGAGCACTGGTCCCAGAAATAAAGTTGGAGTGTGGCCAGCCACATCATGGTTAGTACAAGAGAAAGGGAGATGAGCAGGTGACCTATTTGTGGGTCTGGTGTCAGTGTGGGTGCTGAACCAGTGTGAGTGCTTGCCTACTTCCTATCAGAAAAGGAGGAAAAGCAACCACCCGGTAAGGTGGTTATGATGATAGCACTTCAGTGGGGAGCCGTTTCTTTCATGTTGAATGAGAACAAGCATTGCACCCAGACAGCAGGGCTGGAAGAATCTTATCACACACCTTTGGACCTGTTGGCTCACTGGTGATTTGTCAAATGGCCACCCTCTGGGAGGGCCTGCCCACTCAGAAGACCTGAAGGAGCCAACTGATAAGATTCTGCCTGGGTCCAGAATCGCGTTCCCATTTGCTCTGGTTAATATTAAGATTACTTCTACGTATTTTAAAGAGAGAGTCCGCAATAACGCACAAAACAACAAACCTTCTCCATGCCCCGTCTTCAAAAATTCTGAAACAAGTGTTTTTTTAGTTTTAAAATAATATGTGTACAAAGTTAACACAATGTTTTCCAAATGGCACAGAAATGTATTGACAAAATTCTCCCTTCTGTCCAAGTCCCAACCCCTAGATGAAAACACTAACAGTTTGTGTATCCTTCCACAAATATTCTATGCAAATGCGAACACACAGATACATACTGATGTGTCTATTTTCCAATGCGCTTTTCTTTGTTTGCAGTTAACAGTACAACTTGGGCATCCTTCCTTACTGGCACACCCGGAGTCCCCACCTTCTATCTTCTTCTGTACTGGTTTTAAGTACGGGTGCGCCCTCTTTATGTAACCTGTCCTCATGGTGGGCACTTCACTTGATTTCCATTTGCTGCTATTACCAACGATGCTGCGGTGAGTGTCTCATTGGGTGATGTTTGGGGACTCAAAGTTCGGTTCTCTCTGTGATTACCGAGGAGGAGATGGGCACACGGGGCCCCAGGGCCTGCTGCTGTTCCACAGCCAGTGTGCCCTGGAGGAGCCCGGCAAAGGGTGCAGCTGCCCTGCCCTTGACCCCTAGACATGCTACCTGTATGCTCTATGCGCTAATAAGTGAAACTGCAGGTCAGGCAGTAGGGGCAGTTTAAATTTTAATAGTTATTGATAAACTGCTCTCCACGGAGACTACCATATTTAGGATCCATAGAACACACAAGTGTCTCTTTCCTTAGATTATGATGCTCTTGTCCTTGACAAGACCATAGAGGTGAAAACGATGCCATCTGCTTATTTCAGTTCGCACTTCTTTAATTATGAGTGAGCATTTTTTCCCTATGGAATTATGGGTCATTTGTAGTTACTTTTCTCCATGCTATCTTTTTTAGGATACAAGTCGGTATTTATTCCAGATATTTTATAATAAAAAATATTCGTTTTATGGTACAGTATTTGCTAAATCTTATCTGTGGTGCAGTCATGGTGAAGAGTAACTTATCTTCAACTCATAAAGTTGGAGATGTGTATTGCCTGTGAGCTAGCAATCCCGTTCCACAGTACACACCATAAAGCATAAGAATGTCCAAAGAATTTCCACAGCAGCACTGTTTCTAATAGCAAAAAGGGAAAGGATCTCAGGGTTCACTGACAGGACAAGGCCTCAACTAGCACGTGCTTGAAAGCGAACATGAGTGAACCGGGGCCAGAGAGGTCGCTACTTGCAGAAGGACATGCTCAGCTCAGGCCCCTTCCGTGAAGGTTAGGGACCCGTGAAACAACGCTCCTAGTGCTTGTGTATGCACACTCCCGACACAAGTAGGGACCCCCAGCTCAGCGGCAGGAGCATGGTACCTCTAGAGAGGATGGAGAGCTGGGGGCTTCAGGGGGGTCTGTGATGTTTTCCTACTCAGTGGGCATGCAGATGACGGAGAGGCTGTTCTCTATACTTTATTTATTAAAAAAATAAATAAAGAGTTCACCTTATATTCCCAGAGATTTTGGGGTGGCTTCACACCTAAGGCTTTGACACGCTCCAGTTCCAGGAGGATGGCTCTTCTGTGGCTGCTGTTTTCTATGGTATATGGCGCCCTTGAAAATTCTTCCTCTGTCAGGGTTAAAAGCAACCTGTCGGGGAGGGGGAGTAGCAGGAGGAGATTTCTTTTGAAGGCAAACTCTTCACAGTCAGGCTTGCATCCTATCAGCACAAACGCTTTAGGCTTGAGTAAGTTAAGACACTTAGTATACGGCATAACAGTAATAACAGCAAACCACTGAATCTTCGTGACTCTCTAAAATGACTTCTGGGAGTCACCACAGATCCATTTAACAATTCTGCCCAGTAGGTGGCATGATGGCCATTTTGTGGCTGAAAAAATGGCTTGGAGACATCAAATGGCTCAGCCAAGGCACAGCCTGGTTGGTCTCTTTTGCTCCTAACCTCTGATCTCCCAGCTACGCAGGCTGACCTCACACATACTGCCCTATTTTTCAAAATGTGTATATATAGAAGAAAAAAATTGGAAAGAAATCCAATAAAATGTTATGATTTTAAGAGTAGCTGTTTGGGGGTAGTAATTTAAGAAAAACGATGGTAGCTCCCTTGTCTGATCCCTTTCATCAGAAAACATGACTCCACCTCAACAATCATTCATCGTTAAAAACACCCCGGTGCAGCAATAGCCGAGAGCCCCACGGGCACATGACCGCTGGTGGATGGATGGAGGCTGATGTCCTTTTCTGGGGAATTTGGAAACATTTATCCAAGTTGTAAAGGTTTATGTCCTTTGACCCAGAAATTCTAGTTTTAGGAATTTATCTTCCGGAAGGAAGGCAATTACTCAAACATGTATTAGGTAGGTAGAGAAAAAAATTTTTTTTTTAACCACAATTGGGGAGAGGTACTACAAAAAACAGACGATTCGAGTGGGAGCATTTGGCTTTCCCAAAGGAGGGTCAAGTGCTGAAAGCCCAGTTCCAGGGGGCAGTGAGTAGACGGCCGTCCGGGACAAGTGGATCGCGGCTGCTCTTGGCACTGCGTGGTGCCCTAGGTACTATCCTTCCACAGTCCCTCCGGGGAAGGAAAGACTCCAATAAAGATGGACAGGGCTCTGGAAGGGGGCGAGGGGAAATGCTGATGGGCATAAGCGGGCCTCCCTAGAGCCGGACAATTCGATACAGGAGTTCCTTGTATCAGGGCATTTGCTACAACATTGCTTGGAACTGCCTAGAACAGGAAAAAGGAAACGACCCAGATTTGTTTTGGGAGAGATCAAATAGACTCCGGGTATACACATACATGCGTATATACATATACATATATAAACACAGGTCTGGTTAGTATAATTGTATTTTCAGTTTAAACAAATAAATAATAGGGGCGCCTGGGTGGCTCAGTCGTTAAGCGTCTGCCTTCGGCTCAGGTCATGATCCCAGGGTCCTGGGATCGAGCCCCACATCGGGCTCCCTGCTCAGTGGGAAGTCTGCTTCTCCCTCTGCCACTCCCCTTGCTTGTGTTCCCTCTCTCGCTGTGTCTCTCTCTGTCAGATAAATAAATAAAATTAAAAAAAAAATACATTTATGTGTATCTCTGTATAAACATGGAAAAAAATTCTGGAAAGATGTCCAGAAAGATGACCATGGTGGTTTTCCCTAAAGAGTAGAATTATGAGGGTATTTCACTTCCAATACTCTATAGTTCTACATTATTATTATTATTATTTTTTTAAAGATTTTATTTATTTATTCGAGAGAGAGACAATGAGAGATAGAGACCACGAGAGGGAAGAGGGTCAGAGGGAGAAGCAGACTCCCCGCCGAGCAGGGAGCCCGATGCGGGACTCGATCCCGGGACTCCAGGATCATGACCTGAGCCAAAGGCAGTCGCTTAACCAACTGAGCCACCCAGGCGCCCTACATTATTATTTTTAAAAAACTAGTAAATACCTGCTTCTTTTATAATCAAGAAGCAACAAACAAAATGTCATTAACATAAAATGGTTCAGTGGCTTTGGAAAAACAGTTTGGAAGCTCCTCAAAAAGTTAAACACAAGGATTTACTTTATGACCCAGCAATTCCACTCCAAGAGAGTACTGGAAATGCAGATCTACACAAAAACCTGTATGCTGAGGATCACGGTGGCACTGCTCGTAACAGTCCCCAAACGGAGCCAACCCAAGTGTCCATCAACAGAAGGATGGATAGATAAAATGTGGTTTAGCCACCAACTGGAATATTACTCAGCAATAAAAAATGCAAGAGGCACTGACACCTGCGACAACTTGGATGAATCTTGAAAATATTCTGTGAGGTGAAAAAGCCAGACCCAAAAGGTCATGAATACTGTCTGGTTCCATTTATACAAAGTGGTCTACATAGGCAAATCCATTGAGACAGCAAGGAGAACGGTGGTTGCCAGGGGGTTATGAGGACTGATGGCAAAAGAGTAAGAGCTTTCTTTTTGGGGTGATGAAAATGTTCTAAAACTAGACTGGGGTGATGGCTGCACCCATCTGTGAATATACTGAACACCATGGATTGTACACTTTAAATAGGTGAATTTTGGGGCACCTGGGTGGCTCAGATGTTAAGCGTCTGCCTTCGGCTCAGGTTGTGATCCCAGGGTCCTGGGATCGAGCCCCTCATCGAGCTCCCTGCTCAGCAGGAAGCCTGCTTCTCCCTCTCCCACTCCCCCTGCTTGTATTCCCTCTCTCGCTGTGTCTCTCTCTGTCAAATAAATAAATAAAATCTTTAAAAAAAAATAGGTGAATTTTATAGTATGTGGATTCTATCTCAATAAAGCAGCTTAAAAAAAAAATGTCAGAAGATCTTGCTTCTTACCTTCCATTTACTCTTTCCGCTAAAAACCTGTCTCTGTAGAGAGTGGCCCAAGGGCCCAGCTGCTCCAGCCAGAGGACAACTTCTTCTGCTGTCCACTTGGCCACGGCCTTGTGGACCAGGAGGTCGTGCTCAGATTCCCTGCTGCTCCAGTGATACACGAGCAGGACCACCTGGAGAAGAGGGAGAGCCCTTAACACAGAGGAAGGTCAGGCTGAGCGTGAAGGGAATGATGCCACGTTGGTACGAGGAAGCAAAGAGAGCGGGGGAGCAGAACTCTCGGGAGGGGGGGCCTCTCACTGCTGGGGAACAGAGTCAGAAACAGGACTCAGTGCAGAGCATCTGGGGGCACTGCACCCTTGACCCCAACATCTTGGCCGGTATAATGGACTTATCATGTGCCTTTTTTTTTGCTGGAAAATGTGTAACCTTTAAATTGTTGTAGCACGGAACTGAAAAGAAAATAACCTCTCCATGGGATGTTAGTAAAGTGCTGTGCTCGAGACTGGACCATCAAGGTAGACATGGTCTCGAATTCCAGTTCTAACACCTCCTTGCATCGGTCTCCTCACCTCTAAAATGGGAACAGTAGGGGCGCCTGGCTGCTCAGTCAGTAGAGCACGTGACTCTTGATCCCAGGGTCATGAGTTCAAGCCCCATGCTGGGCACGGAGCTTACGTTAAAAATAATAATAAAAAGAAATAAACAGACAAAATGAGACTAATAACGGTGGCTATGGCAGAGGTTATGAAGAGCATGAAATGGAATAAAGCTAACAATAACTGGGCTCTGAATATGACGTTGACTACTTGAGTACGCAGCATCCCAGAAGAATCATACGACCCAGCAGATTTCCATGCACGCAGTGAATCATCGCATACAGGTATGCCATCAATTACAAACGAACTGACTTCAGTGGAAACTGTGGGGGGTGGGGGGCAGAGAAACACAGAGATAAACTTACTGCCACACCAGTTAAAGCGGTGAGCACTCCAGAAAAGAATCCCCCGCCTCTCTGAGGATTCACTCGGCCTGTGTTTGGAGCTAAAGGAACCTGATCATTCCCGTATTTCTGAAAGGCTGCAAGACTCTGGACTATGTCATTATTGTGCTGAATGTCTTCATATCGCATTCTAATGGCATCAGGAAATAATTTTTCAATGGCATCCCTATGGAGAATAGGAAAAAAAAAATCACAAGACAGTTATTTGCCTAAATCTAATAATGTTTAGAGGTTAAAATCAAACTAACAGTCAACATTTAATAATATACAAGCACTTCAGAAGAATGGACAAGAAGGTTGGTTATGGCCCTGTTGGTAACAGCAAAAAATGAGAAACAACTTACATGTCGATGGTTAGAGAAACAGTTAAATAAAACATGGTCTATTCACACAATGGAATGCTACATGGTTTTAAAAATGAATTTACTGGGTATCACGTGTATCTAGATGGGTACATTTAAGACATACATATCGTTGAATGAAAACAGTAAACTGTAGAACCATACAGATAGTACACCACAGATGTGAGGAAATATTTGGATTTCCTATTGGCACACATATGTATAAAAGTATTTTTAAAAATCTGAAGGAAATCATAACTAAGTCATAACTGAAATGACTCTGGGGCAAAAAGGAAGGAAGGATGGCAAGATAGGGAAAGAGGTCAACGGGGTCTTTAACTTTATTAGTAATAATTCTAATTTTTTAAAAAGAATATAAGCAATTGAAGGTATCTATATATTGCGTATGTTATTAAAAATTAATTCAGGGTGCCTGGGTGGCTCAGATGGTTAAGCGTCGGCCTTCGGCTCAGGTCATGATCCCAGGGTCCTGGGATCGAGTCCCGCATCGGGCTCCCTGCTCCTTGGGAGCCTGCTTCTCCCTCTGCCTCTCTCTCTCTCTCTGTCTCTCATGAATAAATAAATAAAAAGTTTAAAAAAAAATTAATTCATAAAAAAGAAAACAAGTGGAGTTGAGTAGTAAGAGGAAGACCATTAGGTCCTACTATAGGGCTCTCCATTTGCAATTACACATAATCAAAGAATCTTCCTTCAATTTAAAAGCAACCTTCAGGTAAACCAGGCTGACAGATGAGAGCAAAGTATCTGTAAATATATCTCAAATGAAAAAGAGAATGTTAGGTTAATGTTTTCAGAGAGCTTTCTGGTACTCTGTTGGTATCAAGAAGGCAACAGAAGAAAAGCAAGGATTTTATTTTATTTTATTTATTTATTTTTTTAAATTTTATTTATTTATTTGAGAGAGAGAGAATGAGAGATAGAGAGCACGAGAGGGAAGAGGGTCAGAGGGAGAAGCAGACTCCCCACCGAGCGGGGAGCCCGATGCGGGACTCGATCCCGGGACTCCAGGATCATGACCCGAGCCGAAGGCAGTCGCTTAACCAACTGAGCCACCCAGGCGCCCGAAAAGCAAGGATTTTAGCCTCAAAGACCTCACAGGTACATTATAAATATTATGGACAGAAGCAGAAAAGAACCTACTATCTGAAAGGTCTTGCCATTTGTTGTATCAGACTATGCATGAGAAGCTACCTCTATTGATATGAAAACTGGAACAGAATTTAGTCAAAGATGATGAAAATCAGCATCAAACTGATTTGTACAGAATTGTGCAGTTATACTACTTTCTCTATTAGACCTAGGGTGTCCGCGGTAGATACAAATCAATAAAAAGTGTTATATGACAAAGGATTATAAGCAATGGTCTGATACCCAGAATTTCTTTTTCTCCTTTATGATAAACAATCACAAACAGATCATGATCACCTGTGAGGAAGGGAGTCTGGATTTGCAGTCCCTGGGCTCCCCAACTCACACACCAGCAGATCTAGAATGACCATGGAGGGGGGCGGCTCTTTGCCTCTGGCCCTCTCAAGCTTGGCTGCTCCCATGAAGAGAAAGCACACGGTGCTAGCTGCATGGGCTACCCATATGGACTGAGCATTACCTGAGGAGAATATTGACTTTAGGGAAACCTTCCCATTTTTCTCTGCATTCTGGACACTCTGTTTTCTTTGAAGAGGCCCACCACAAAGCTAGGCAGTGCCGGCAGAAGCTATGCCCACAGTTCAAGGTGGTGGGGTTAACCAGGATGTCGTAACAGCAGTGGCAAGAAAATTCACTAACAGAAATCTGAGGGCTGGTGCTCTGGAGAGGGTCATCCTTCTCGTGGGTCATCGTGTTCAGATCGTTCTGCGGAGGCTCCTCCATATCTTAGCAAATTCTGGGATGCACAGGCACAGAAAGCTTCAGACTTATAGACTGTTGCAAAGCATCATTAAATCTAGAAAAAAAAGACAACAGAACTGGGACAAATAGTTTAGCAGGTGTTCGAGATTACTGCCATTCTCATAAAGGCGATTTTTATATGGGACCAACTTAATGTCTAAAAATTCACATTCCATAAACCAAATAAACCTTGCTGAATTTTTCTGCACTGTCATACTTCTGAAAATTAGGTGAAGCAAAACAATGTAGTGGAAAGCTCAATGGACTTGGGGGCAGTGGAGAATCCTGGATCCTTCTCTTTCACTAACTTACTTGGAAAATGTAATTCCTCTGGCCTCAGTTCTCCCAATTAAATTTCTCAAGTCCTTTCGTGTGTATGATTTAAACAAAACAAAACAAAACAAAACAAAACAAAACAAAACAGTTTTTTGGGCCAGTAAAATGTCTGGAGTTGGCAGTAACAGATGTACTTCATGTAAATAATGCCTTTTTTATCCAGACAAATCTGCCTTCTCGTTAGGTAATTATTTCATAAACATGTGATTGCAGAGGCTCCCACAGGAATAAAGTACCAAAAAGTGAGTGAAACCTCGTTTTCTGAGGTGCCCTGTGCCAGAACAAGTCCCCTGGGGCTCGATATACCCTTTCAATCCAAACACACGTCATGCCTTCTGGATTTGGCCAATCTGGTGCCACAGAAACATGCCAATGTTGGTAGTAAGCAAACGGCAAAGGACCATACTCTTCTCGTTCTTATCTGGGTCTTAGATTGTTTTATGGAGTGGAAGTATGGTGCAGAACACCATGGAGTTAGAATCCTAGCTCCCCAATCACGTGCTCTGACTACGCATAAGTTACTTGAGCTCTCTGAGTCCTGTGTTCTCAACTGTGAAATGGTGGTTAACAGAAACCTTCAAGGCTTCTGGTAAAGATTAGAGACATTGAAAGTTAAGTGGCAAGGATGGTATATGGCATAAACAGGGGCTAATGAAATGATTATTCACAGTATTCCTGGTATTACTACAGTAGAGGCGCTGACGGGTAAGGGTTTCTCCACCTCGCTATTGTGAAGACAAGGGAAGTCAATTGCTCTTCATCACACATGGTGGTCATGCAGAGAGGGCTCAAGTTTTTACACATTCTAGGTACAGTGGTTAAGAAACAGGTTCCAGGTCTCGGTTGCCTGGGGTCTTATTCCATTTCTGCCATTCAGTAGCTGTGGGGACTGGACTTCCTAGAGACTCAGCTTCCTCATGTATAAGTGGGGGTGGTAAGAGCATTTACCCCCACTGGGAGGGTTTAAGAATTAAACGTGAGAATGCAAGTGAAGTGCCTCATACAGAGTCTAGCATGTGGTAAGTAAAGCATATATGGTAGCAGTTTACCTGCTTTTAAATATAGTCATGAGGGGCGCCTGGGTGGCTCAGTTGGTTAAGCGACTGCTCGGCTCAGGTCCTGGGATCGAGTCCCACATCGGGCTCCCTGCTCAGCAGGGAGTCTGCTTTTCCCTCTGACCCTCTTCCCTCTCGTGCTATCTCTCATTCTCTCTCTCTCTAAATAAATAAAATCTTTAAAAAAAATATAGTCATGAAAATTGTATCACCTTTTATTATTTATTTTGAAAGATTTACTTATTTATTTGAGAGAGCGAGAGAGAGCGAGTGCGTGTGCACACTAGTGCGTGTGAGAGGGACAGTGGGGAAGGGCAGAGGAGGGAGTGGGAGAGAGCAACCCCAGCAGATTCTGCACTAAGCTTGGAGCCTGACATGGGGCTGGATCTAAAGACCCTGAGATCATGACCTGAGCCGAAATCCAGAGCTGGATGCTCAACTGACTGAGCCACGGGCATTGTATCACCTTTTACAAAGTGATGTATTATACTTACATAGAGCACTATATTTTAAGCCAACCTAGGGGCACCTGGGTAGCTCAGTCAGTTGAGCGACTGACTCTGTTTCTGCTCAGGTCCTGATCTCAGGTCTGGAGACTGACCCCAGTGACAGCTGGTGCTCAGGGCAGAGTCTGCCTAAGATTCTTTCCCTCTCCCTCTATGCCTTCCCCCTACTCTCTCTCTAAAATAAATAAAACAAAACCTTAAAAAAAAAAGCAAATCTATAAACAAAGACTAGAAGAAAATACAATGAAGTATTTGTAGCAGGTCTGGATATGTTGGGTGGGGGAGGGTTGTGATTCTTTTGGTTCTGGTTTTCTGTATTTATCAGGTTGTTCTTAATGAAAATGTATAACGTTACAATAATCGTAAAAATATATATGAAATAGTAAAAAAAAAAAAAGTTATATTCCTTTTGGCCCAACACCAGTGGGGGATTTTCAACGCAAAGAATAAACAACTGAATTTTAAACTCAGTGTTAAAGTTAAAGTTAAGGAATAGAGATTCCTCATCAGTACTAAAAAGATAATTAGGCAAAGATAAAGTTAAAAGATTAAATATAAGATACAATTTTAAAATATAATAATTAAATTAATGTTATTCATAATAATAAGTAATAGTAAAGAAGGGAATAACCTTCTGTGAGGCCCAAACTGTTCTTTTTGGGGCGCCTAGCTGGCTCAGTGGTGAAGCATGAGACTCTCATCTCGGAGTTATGAGTTTGAGCCCCATGCTGGGTGTAGAGGTTACTTAAAAATAAAATCTTAAAAAAACCCCCCAAAACTGTTCTTTTTGGGGGCGCCTGGGTGGCTCAGTTGTTAAGCGTCTGCCTTTGGCTCAGGTCATGATCTCAGGGTCCTGGGATCGAGCCCCGCATCGGGCTCCCTGCTTGGCGGGAAGCCCGCTTCTCCTTCTCCCACCCCCCCCGCTTGTGTTCCCTCTCTCGCTGTGTCTCTCTCTATCAAATAAATAAATAAAATCTTTAAAAAAAACAAAAACCAAAAACTGTTCTTTTTGGAAGACTTCAAATAAATGTTCTTAATGACAAACTTTAAATCATTTCTGATAATCAATCATATTTATTATTTGTATGTTTAGGAACATTAAAAAAATTCCTAAGTTGCTTTCCTTTGGGCAGTCTCTTCAAATTGCTAAGGATGTGGGAGATCTTACATAGGTTTTTAGAAAAAGGAATCATTTTGATAAAGTAGTTCCTTTATCTGGCTAATGCTGATTAAACAGCTGCCATGAGAACATTATCCCAGGAAATAATAATTGACCCACTGCTATTTATTTATTTGCTTATCAGTATTATTTTTTTAAGATTTTATTTATTTTAGAGAGAGTTCATGCGCATGAGTGGAGGCAGGGAGGGGCAGAGGGAGAGGGACAAGCAGACTCCCCGCTGAGCAGAGGCAGACATGGGGCCTGATCCCAGGACCCTGAGATCATGACATGAGCCAAAGGTAGATGCTTAACCAAATGAGCTACCCAGGCGCCCTGAACCACTGCTATTTATTAGGCATCTCCTGTGAGCTGGGCATTGTGCAGGCCCTTTAGGTACATTTAGGATCTCATTTGGATTCAGGGTCAGAGGAAAGATCCTGAGGCTCCCAGTGAGAGCTGGGAATGGGGTCAGAAAAGAGGGGCCTGACTTGGGCACTGCTGTCAGCATTTTCATGGGGAGCGGCGAGTGACCCAGAGCTGCAGGTCTGATATGGGGGTCTTGTGCGCCTAGTTAATGACAGCTGGGCCAATGGGAACACATAAAGGCTTCAGGGACAATCAGATCAGCAAAGCTGTGCTTGAGTACGATAAATCCCCTCAGGTAGGAGGACCACACTAGGATAACTTAGAAGTAAAATGTTTGTCACTTCTAGGACTAAGGTGACAAAAAATGAAAAGAGCAAAGGAATGAAATGTGATAAAGAAAGGGATCAATGTATCTGAGAGACATTAAGAAAATAATTTATGGGCTCCAGTGACTAGAGGGAAAGAATGATCAAAGATGCTGCCTAGTTGTCAGAGCTAGGGAAGAAGAAAGGTACTTGTGATAGAAATGGGTCACTGTGAGCGCATGGGGCTGATCTCAGAAAGAAGTGGAATTTTAGAAAACTTAAGTTTGAGGTGATGATAAGACTTCAAAGTACAATTGTTGAGTGAGCAGCTGGAGATACAAAACTGTAGATGGGAGTTAAGAATGAGGCGAAGTGTATACATTTCAGAGTAATTTGCAGAGCAATGACAATTTGTATTGAAATACATTTCTTAGCAATTAGCCTTTTATTTTTTTAAGGATTTTATTTATCTGAGAGAGAGAGAGAGAGTGCATGAGTGGGGGACAGAGGCACAGGCAGAGGGAGAAGCAGACTCTTCCGCTGAGCAAGGAGCCCGATGTAGGGCTCGATCCCAGGACTCCGAGATGATGACCCGAGCCAAAGGCAGATGCTTAACAGACTGAGCCCCTCACCAATTAGCCTTTTGGAACTAGAAGGTAAGAGCGTCTGGGTGGTTCAGTTGGTTAAGTGTCTGCCTTTGGCTCAGGTCAGGATCCCAGGGTCCAGGGATCGAGTGCTGCATCGGGTTCCCTGCTCAGTGGGGAGTCTGCTTCTCCCTCTCTCTTTACCCCTCCCACCTGCTTGTGCTCTGCCAAATAAATAAAATATTAAAAAAACAAACAAACACTAGAAGCCATTCCCTACCTTACCAGCTCTGAAAGTTTATTTATGAGAGAAAACAAACCACACAATGGCATCTGAAATGTATTTTTAAGTCCTATTTTGAAAAGCTGAAGTGGCCACTAGTTTTGTCTCAAAACTGTCTTTAACAAACTAGAAACTGCATAGACTTTGATTACCTCTTAGGAACGTGGCTGGTTTCGGGTTACCCTACATTCAAAATGTGAACGCTAACAGAGAAAGAGTACACATCTTAACCAAAGTCAGTTGATCTTTTGCTATTTCTGTCTGCTTTTGGGTTACTTCCATGAAGGAAAACAGCACTTTCGGAGGAAGAAAGTACCTCTTAAGTGATAAAATGTAGCGCAGACACCAAAGTTCCAAGCTGTGGGTCAACACACCCTCCTGCGCTGGCAATGATTAAAGGCCTCTTTGAGAAAGCCAATGTTCTTGAGGATGTTTAAGAGATGTTCTCTATAAACTCA